GATAGATAGATAGATAGATACCGTTTGAGTGCACAGTGCTCTCTGGCTGTAGGCGAACTACAACTCCAAAACTCAAGGTCAATGCCCACCAAACCCTTCCAGTATTTTCTGTGGGTCATGGGAGTTCAGTGTGCCACGTTTGGTTCAATTCCATAACTTGATGGAGTTAAGAATGCTCTTTGATTGTAGGTGAACTATAAATCCCAGCAACTACAACTCCCAAATGTCAAGATTCTATTTTCCCCAAACTCCATCAGTGTTCACATTTTGGCATATTGAGTATTTGTTCCAAGTTTGGTGCAGATCCTTCATTATTTGAGTCCACAGTGTTCTCTGGCTGTAGGCAAACTACAACCCCAAAAGTCAAGATCAGTGTCCACCAAACTCTTCCAGTATTTTCTGTGGGTCATGGGAGTTCAGTTGCCACGTTTGGTTCAGTTTCATCCTTGGTGGAGTTCAGAATCCTCTTTGATTGTAGGTGAACTATAAATCCCAGCAACTACAACTCCCAAATGTCAAGGTCTATTTCCCCCAAACTTTATCTGTGTTGATATTTGGGCATATTGAGTGCTTGTGCCAAGTTTGGTCCAGATCCATCATTGTTTGAATCCACAGTGCTCTGTGGGTGTAGGTGAACTACAACTCCCAAGCTCAAGGTCAATGCCCACCAAACTCTTCCAATATTTTCTGTGGGTCATGGGAGTTCAGTGTGCCACGTTTGGTTCAATTTCATCCTTGGTGGAGTTCAGCATGCTCTTTGAATGTAGGAGAACTATAATTCCCAGCAACTACAACTCCCAAATGACAAAATCATATTTTTTTTTTTGAGTGAAGGACATACATTGGGCTGTTAGGTGCCTTGTGTCCAAATTTGGTTATCCATTCGTCCAGTGGTTTTTGAGTTATGCTAATCCTACAAACGAACATTGCATTTTTATTTATATAGATTCATAACTAAGATCCCTGTATGATGCAAATCTAATGCGCAGCTTAACTTTGGTGCGGCAGTGTCACAGTATAAGTAGGGTGAGCATTAGATTTGCATAAATAGGGGTGATATTCATGTGTCCCCTGCTTTTCTCTCTCTATGGAAGGAGACTCAAAGCTATCAAAGCAGGGAGGAAGGGCGTCTTCTGGGCATTCCCGGGAGCTCTGCCCCGCCTGGAGAAGCATTTCCTGCTTGGTCAGCGTTCCCTTCGTTGTCGTTGTGTTCCTGGCATCCTGGCGCATGGATTGGTGGTGGTGGTGGTGGTGGTCTCCTTATGGAACCGTTAAGGCTCGGTCTCTGTGGGAAAGCCCTTCCCTGGCCCCATAGACGTGTCTGTCTGTCTGTCTCTCTCTCCCCCCCCCCCCCGAGCCTGCTTGAAGGCCCCTCTCCCTGGGGAAGCAGAGCAGAAGCAATGTGGCGCCTGGGCTCAACAGTGGCCCTTTCATCCCCTCCTTCCTTCTGTCTCTTGGCTGAGTGGCGGGGAGGACAACCGGCATTGTCGGTCTAGGGCATGCAGATGGAGCATGCCGCTCTGCAAGGAGTGATGGGCATTGTCATCCAAAGCCTGATGGGCATTGTCATCCAACGCAGCCGGAAGAGCCTGCTTCAAGGCAGCATCCGTTCAATGGCTTAAGCCAGGCTGGGGCAAACTTGGGCCCTCCCTCCAGGTGTTTTGGACTCCAACTCCCACAATTCCTTAAAAAAAAATTTATTGATTATTTAAGGGGAAAGGGGGGGGGGAGCAAAGGAAGAAAAAGGAATGAAGACAAAAAGGGGGGATAGAAGGGGGTACTTACTTAGGTGATCCCTCGTTGGACGAGTAAGATGGTCTTCCATGATGGGTTTCCTTGTGGGTTCGTAGGTGGCTGTGGAGCCCTGTTCTTGACCCGCATCTTCTCCCACAGTGAGGGCATCGGTTTCCAGGTGGAAGGCGGTCCCAGTTGGGGTTGGCTTGACGCGTCTTCCTCCTGGCACGCTTCTCTTTCTCCCTCCACTCGTGCCTCCTCGAATTCTGCAGCACTGTTGGTCACAGCTGACCTCCAGCTGGAGCACTCAAGGGCCAGGGCTTCCCAGTTCTCAGTGTCTATGCCAGAGTTTTTAAGGTTGGCTTTGAGCCCCTCTTTCAGTTTCTTTTCCTGTCCACCAACATTCCGTTTTCCATTCTTAAGTTCAGAGTAGAGCAGCTGCTTTGGGAGACGATGGTCGGGCATCTGGACAACGTGTCCAGTCCAGCGGAGTTGATGGCGGAGGACCATCGCTTCAATGCTGGTGGTCTTTGCTTCTTCTTCCAGCATGCTGACGTTTGTCCGCTTGTCTTCCCAAGAGATTTGCAGGATTTTCCGGAGGCAGCGCTGATGGAATCGTTCCAGGAATTGCATGTGACGTCTGTAGACAGTCCACGTTTCGCAGGCATAGAGCAGGGTTGGGTGGGGGGGGGGGAATAGCTTTATAGACAAGCACCTTGGTGTCCCTACGGATGTCCTGGTCCTCAAACACTCTCTGCTTCATTTGGAAAAAAGCTGCACTTGCGGAGCTCGGGCGGTGTTGTATTTCAGTGTCAATGTTGACTTTTGTGGAGAGGTGGCTGCCAAGGGAGCGGAAATGATCACCATTTTCTAATGTTCCACCATTAAGCTGTATCACTGGCATTGGGGAGGGGATGGCTGGTGACTGCTGGAACAGAAGGGGGTAGGTAAAAAGGGGAAGGAAAATTAGATTGGTAAAAAGAAAAAAGTGGAAGGAGACTAACGTCGCTGTGTTACTGTTAATGTTTATTTCTTAATAGTGAAAAAAGAAAAAAAACAAAGAAGAAAAATATAAAAATTAAAAAATTAAAATTAAAATGATCTTATTGACTTCCAAATTCGTATCCTTTCCGGGCAACTCCCACAATCCCTGACAGGAGTGGAAAGTGCTGCTGGGTTCATTTTTGCCTGTTGCATAAAGGCCTCCTTCGTTTTTCCCGGCGCTCCAAAAATGCGGGGCGGTGGCCAAATCGCCCTCTTTGCAAACTTTCCAAGGAAGGAGGAACTTCAGCGAAGAAGAGGCTTCCTTGTCGCCTTGCATGCTTCAATGGCTGGGCGTCTCATGAAAATGCATGGTTCCTGGGAAAGTCAGCCCAGGAAAGTAATTGCCGGTTTGGAATGACGAGACGGACTGGCTTGGTCGCTCTTTGCGCTCCCTTTTCCGCGGGAAGCGCTTGCTGCGTGACGGCAGGAAGCCTTCCACAATGAGAAGCATTGCACCACTTCCTCCCCCAAAAGCCCCCTCTTCCCGGCACGGAAAAGCCCCTTCCTGGCTTCTGTAGGCATCTCAATATCCTCAATTCAGCTGGAAAGCACCTTGGAGTTGGCCTTCTCTATCCACACGTGGGTGCATTAATTCAATCGACTACAGCTTGAAAATAATCTTTAAAAATACAACTATTTATTTATATCCCGCGTTATCTCTCCATACAGAGACTCAAGGCAGCTCACTGTCAAAAACATTACAACCTAAAATGTACAATAATAAATCAGTATATATTATATATTATTATACATTATCAGTAGTTATTATATTTAATATATTAGTATTGCTACATTGCAATATTTTTATTATATAAAAATATTGCAATGTACGCTCCACCTATCCTTGCACGCTCCACCTATCCCTAAAATATCTATCCTATTTCATCTGATCATGCCCAGCACTTTTAAAGATTTTAATTATTACATTTGGCTCTGCCACAGGTTTTAATGCGCCGCAGTGTTATTGTTAATGTTTTTGCTTTCTTATGAGTTTGTTGTTATTGTATTGTTGTTGTTGTGTTTTACTGATGTATTTGGGCTCGGCCTCTTGTAAGCCGCACCGAGTCCTTCGGGAGATAGTAGCAGGGTATTAATAAAGGTTTATTATTATTATTATTATTAATAATAATAATAATAATAATATATTGTATTACATTATAATATTATCAATATATATGCACATTATATTATTACCCCCTGAGTCGCCTTCGGGCTGAGAAAGGCGGTAATACAGTAAATAAATAAATATTATCCTAGCACAATATTAGTATTATATGCTACTATATAATATTATACAACTATACTGCAATATGATTAGTAATAGTGCATGTAATACATAAACAATTATTATATTGTATTATTAGTATTATATTGTACTACATTATCATATTATTATCAATATTGTATGTATATACAATATGTTCTGTTATTAGCATAACAGTATTAATATTACTAATATATATTATGATATAATAATATATATTATATTACATGTAATATATAATATACAATTATATGTTCTATATTATATTAATTTTATAATACAGTAATATTACATGTAATATATACTATACAATTATGTTATATAATATATATTTATATTATATATATTATACTAGCTGTCCCCCGCCACGTGTTGCTGTGGCCCAGTCTGTGTAGATGTGTTTTGTATGTGTATATATGTGTGTTTGTGTATATGTATGTGATTTTGCGCATGCGTTGTAATGTATTTTTTGTTTTTTGCCTTTTTAAGTCTCTTCTGCTGTGTTTTTCAGTGTTTTATGACTGATGGTCACCCGTTGTGCTGATAGGTGTATAGTATCCAAATGTGGTGTCAATTCCTCCAGTGGTTTTTGAGTTCTGTTAATCCTACAAACGAACATGACATTTTTATTTATATAGATTATATAATCATATAATATTACATGTAATATATAATATTGGAAAGTTCTGCTGTGTGGTACTATACAATCATACAAATGTGTTGTTTGCTTTCTTCTCCTTTGTCGGTGTCTAGATAGGGGGTGGCATAGTTGACTAATTCTTTAGCCCCCAGAGAAGTGTCTCAAGGAGGCACCGGATGCACACCGCAGCGGATTGCATTTGCAAACTCCTTGCCAAGAGGGCTAGCAACCAGAGCTTCTTTTCCCCTTATGAATGAACATATTGGGAGGTGCGTTGCTGTCTCACTCATGCCTTGGTTTCCTCTCTTCTGCTCGCAGGCTGAGGCAGAAGTGGCGTCCCTGAACCGCCGCATCCAGCTGGTGGAGGAAGAGCTGGATCGGGCCCAGGAGCGCCTGGCCACCGCCCTGCAGAAGCTGGAGGAAGCCGAGAAGGCGGCCGACGAGAGCGAAAGGTGGGTGGCGGCCAGGATGCCCAGCCATTTCCAAGCAGAGCCCAAGAGCTTGATCCCCTCCCTGTTATCAGATCCTTTTATTATTCCAGAATGGTATGCTTTGATTATTCACACAAAGATCAAAGTAATCGGTCTGTCTTTGGAAGCACTCTGAATGTTTACAAAGGTGGAAGCCCACAGGTCAGGCAAGAACAGACTTTTGGATCTTGACTTCCATAATCTGACTCTTGCGGCAAAGGCGACTTGTTCCCCTACCACAGCATTGGTTCCGTGTGAGCGTGGAGTCATGGCAGCTTATCTTTGCATTGTGATTCATCCCACCCAGAGGAGAGCTTTGGCAACTGGAAGGTGTAATGTGTGGCCATCAGCTCTTTTGGAAGGGTGATATGAAAACATGCAATTGTTTTATCACTCCATCTATCTATATATTGTGGCAGGAGGGGGTTGGACTGGATGGCCCTCTTTGGGGTCCCTTCCAACTCTATCTATCTATCTATCTATCTATCTACCTACCTACCTACCTACCTACCTATCTATTATGGCAGAAGGGGATTGGACTGGATGGTCTTCTTTGGGGCTCCTTCCTACTGTAGGACCCTATCTATCTATCTAGTATGGCAGAAGGGGTTTAGATTGGAAGGCCCTATTTGGGGCCCCTTCCTACTCTAGGATTCTATCTATCTAGCCACCTATCTCTATCTACCTATGTTTCTATCTGTTGTGGCAGAAGGGGGTTGGACTGGATGGCCTTCTTTGGGGCCCCTTCCAGCTCTAGGATTCTGTCTATCTATTATGGCAGAAGGGGGTTACACTGGAAGGCCCTCTTTGGGGCCCCTTCCTACTCTAGGATTCGATCTACTTATATCTATCTTTCTATTACTTGTTCCCCTACCACATCATTGATTCCGTGCAAGCGTGGAGTCACGGCAGCTTATTTTCGCATTGTGATTCATCCCACCCGGAGGAGAATTTTGGCAACTGGAAGATGTAATGTGTGGCTATCATCTCTTTTGGAAGGGAGATAGGAAAACATGCAATGTTCTATCATTCTATCTATCTATATATTGTGGCAGAAGGGAGTTGGACTGGGTGGGGCCCCTTCTAAGTCTAGGATTCTACCTACCTACCTCTATCAATCTATCTATCTTTCTATCTGTTATGGCAGAAGGGGGTTGGACTGGATGGCCTTCTTTGGGGGCCCTTCCAACTCTAGGATTCTGTCTATCTGCCTACCTCTATCTATCTATTACTTGTTCCCCTACCACATCCTTGATTACGTGCAAGCGTGGACTCTTGGCATCTTATCTTTGCATTTTGATATATTCCTTCCAGATTAGAGCTTTGGTGACTGTAATGTGTTGCCATCATCAGCTCTTGTGAACGAGAGACACAAAAAGGTGGACCTTTCCCCCCCTGGTTTCTGGTTCTTTGTTGATATGCCCTAAATATGATAATGTGCAGATGAAATACAGGAATTTTAATTTTTCAATGTGTTCAATTCCAAAGCTCTTGACCTACTCTTATGCATTCTTTTGTGAGATGGTTGCAAATTTTATTCTTGAGTTTAGTAACTCTTAATTATGCTGTGACTTCCTCTTCCTGTACATGCCTGTGTTGTGATTTCGATGTCGTATGGCGGCAAAGGCTGTGTGCTTGTCAGCAAGACAAGACCGGGAGAGCGCTTGCCCCCTTCCCTTGGGTTTGGGCTCATTTCCTTCCTCCCGATGCCCGTCTCTTTCCCATCATGCTGCTGACGGTTGTGTGCCTCTGTGTTCTTCCAGGGGCATGAAGGTGATTGAGAACAGGGCCCTGAAGGACGAGGAGAAGATGGAGCTGCAGGAGATCCAGCTCAAGGAGGCCAAGCACATTGCCGAGGAGGCCGACCGGAAGTATGAGGAGGTGAGCGGCTGGGGAAGGAAGAGCCTTGCCTGGGAACGATCCCTTTCTCAAACCCAGAAGAGCAGCCGCTGCTCCATCTAGACTGAGGCAGGGGGCCATTGGCATCTGAGTTGAAGTCACGTAAATACCGAGCCAATGGAAAGCTTTGAGTAATCGACACCACAAGGCTTAGTTGGGGAATGTCCTGAATTACGGGTTTCAATGGGAACCTGCAAGAGAGTGTATGCTTCTACAAGACTGAAACCAGGCTTCCAATAATAATAATAATAATAATAATAATAATAATAATAATAATAAACTTTATTTATACCCCGCCACCATCTCCCCATTGCAGACCTCAATTTTCAAAACCCTGAAACAAAAAAAAAAAGTATTTGCTGGCAAAGCAATATAGTTTCATCTATGCTGATGATCATGCCATCACCACTTAGACAGGGAGCTTTGAAATCAACTAAATTGCTATTTATAGAGAGGGCTTCCCTGAAAAAGGAGCTCATTTTCAAAACCCTGTAACCAAAAACCCCCCAAAAAACCCTATTTGCTGGCAAAGCAATATAGTTTCATCTATGCTGATGATCATGCCATCACCGCTTAAGCAGGGAGCTTTGAAATAAACTAAATTGCTATTTATAGAGAGGGCTACGCTGAAAGAGGAGCTCATTTTCAAAACCCTGAAACCTAAAAACAACTATTTGCTGGCAAAGCGATATAGTTGCATCTATGCTGACGATCATGCCATCACTGCTTAACCAGGGAGATTTGAAATCAACTAAATTACTATTCAGAGAGAGGGCTTCCCTGAAAGAGGAGCTCCAGGTGCTTCTGAAGTAGCTTCTTTGGCTCAGACCTAAGATCACCACATTTTATTATTTATTTATTTATTTACGCCGTTTCTACCCCGCCCTTCTCACCCCTGAGGGGGGACTCAGGGCGGCTAACACAGGCAGCAATTCGATGCCACAATATCAGTAAAAAATCATAATATATAACAAATTAAAACAGTTACAATCATAATCACAAAGTCACAAAGCCGTTTCCAATTGTCATAACAGTCTTATGGTCTGGGTTCAGTATCTAAAATGCTGCTGTGCCCACTAGCCAAAAGCCTGGCTCCAAAAACCACGCTTTTTGTTTCTTCCTAAAAGAAAGGAGGGAGGACGCTGATCTGATCTCGCTGAGGAGCAAATTCCACAAGCGGGGGGCCACCACTGAGAAGGCCCTGTCCCGCGTCCTAACCAGACATATTGTGAGCCCCTGGTGGCGCAGTGGGCTAAACCCCTGTGCCAGCAGGACTGAAGACCGACAGGTTGCAAGTTCAAATCTGGGGAGAGGCGGATGAGCTCCCTCTATCAGCTCCAGCTCCTCATGCAGGGACATGAGAGAAGCCTCCCATAAGGATGATAAAAACATCAAAATCATCCGGGCGTCCTATGGGCAACGTCCTTGCAGACAGCCAATTTTCTCACACCAGAAGCGACTTGCAGTTTCTCAAGTTGCTCCTGACATGACAAAAACAAAAACAAAACCCAGACTCATTTGCGAGGCTGGCAGGACCGAGAGCAGGGCCTCCCCAGTAGATCCTAAATTTCGAGGTGGAACGTAGAGGGATTACGCCAACCAGTGCACACCCGCATTTTGGGATTAGATTGGAGTAAATACAGTATTTGGGGTTGGAAATGGTTGGATTGGGTCACTCAGCCTGGCACAGGAATGGTCCTGGTGCGGCTTCCCTCTGCCTGTGTTGACCCTTTGCTCTTTGCCCAGGTGGCCCGGAAGCTGGTCATCATCGAAGGAGACTTGGAGCGTACCGAGGAGAGGGCTGAGCTGGCAGAATCGTGAGTACCCCTTCCTTCCTTCCTTCCTTGCTTGCTTCCTTGCTTCCTCCTGGCGCTTCTTCCTCCTTGGCACGCGGCCCCTTTGCTGCATGGGCGCTTGCACTAACCCCGCCGGCTTGGCTTGCACCCCATTCGGCCAGGCCTGAAGCGTGGGCCTCGAGGGCCCCTCTCCCCTTCCTCACCTGAGGGAACTCTTCCCCTTCCTTCCCCTCTTTCTTGGGCAGCGCAGGAAGCTCCTGGCACACGCTTGAGACACGTGGCTTTGGTTGACGCTATTAGATCTTGAAAAATTCCCTGACGGCTGAGATGGACTGGATGAGGGATAACAGGTTGAAGCTTAATCCAGACAAGGCAGAGGTCCTCCTGGTCAGTTGCGAAACCCACCAGGGTATTGGGTGGCAACCTGTGCTCAGCGGGGTCACACTCCCCTTGAAGGCGCAGGTCCGTAGCTTGGGGGTTCATCCGGGATTCAACGCTGTCGCTTGATGCTCAGGTGTCAGCGGTGGCCGGGAGGGCCTTTGCACAACTCAAACTTGTGCGCCAGCTGCAACCATTCCTCGTGAAGTCTGATTTGGCCAGTGTGGTCCATGCTTGGTTACATCCAAACTGGACTATTGCAATGCGCTCTACGTGGGGCTGCCCTTGAAGACGGCCCAGAAGTTTGAACTGGTACAATGGGCGGCAGCCAGGCTCCTTACTGGAGCAAACTATAAGGAGCGTACATCACCTCTATTAAAACAGCTTCATTGGCTGCCGATAAGTTGCTGAGGCAAATTCAAGGTGCGGGTCATGACCTATAAAGCCCTAAATGGTTCGGGCCCTGCCCATCTCCACGATCGCATCTCCTTCTATGAACCAGTGCGAGCTCTAAGATCTTCCGGGGAGGCCCTCCTCTCGGTCCCACTACCATCTCAAGCACGGTTGGTGGTGACGAGAGAGAGGGCCTTCTCGGTGGTGGCCCCCCGTCTCTGGAATGCCCTTCCAAGGGAAATAAGCCAGGCCCCATCCCTCCCCTCCGGGGCCGTTTAGGGCTTGATAGGCCAAAGCCAGCGCTTTGAATTGTTGGGTTGTTGTAGGTTTTTTCGGGCTATATGGCCATGTTCTAGAGGCATTCTCATCCTCACAACCTCTGAGGATGCTTGCCATCGATGCAGGCAAAATGTCAGGAGAGAATGCCTCTAGACCATGGCCATATAGCCCGAAAAAACCTACAACAACCCAGTGATTCCGGCCATGAAAGCCTTCGACAATACTTTGAATTGTGTCTGGTAGCAAACTGCCGGTCAGTGGATCTTTTTGGGGCCCTTGTTCCCCAGAATCCTTTCCCCAAAGTAATTTTTCCCAAGCTTCACTATCTCCCCACATCTCTTGGGACATGGTCAAGTTGAAAACAAACACATTTAAGCAGAGGTTGTGTGCCCATCTATTGGGAGGGCCTTAATGGTGTATTCCTGCCTGGGGGTTGAACTAGATGGCCATCTGTCAGGAAGGCTTTGGCTGCGTAGCCTTGTATGGCAGGGAGTTAGACTGGATGGCCCTTGCGGTCTCTTCCAAGTCGCAAACTATGCGAAGTCTAGATGGGAATTGCAACAAAAGCGACTACTTTAGGAAGCTGTCCCAAAGTCGTATCAAGGGGACCACCCTGCTGGGGTCTCCCACCCTTCCTTTCTTTTCTTTGGGGGGGGGCACCACATCTGCTCAGCAGCTGGGCCAGCAGAGCAATGGAGGGGAGGCCAGGGAGGGAGTCCTCAAGATGCTCCGCAGAAATCTTGAGCATCTTTGCTTCCATCTCCAGCCGAGTTTGAGAAGCATCCCTGCCCAAGGCAGGCTCAAAGAGGGGTCGTTGGCCCTCCCGGGGGTCTGGCAGCACAGTTTCCATCAGCACAGTTTATGGACTAATAATAACCATCTTTATTTATACCCTGCCACCATCTTCCCAATGGGGACTTGGAGTGGCTTACATGAGGCCAAGCCCAAACAACAAATTACAACAGAGTAAAACCGAAAACACAAACCAAAAAATGCAAACAATAAACAACCACATTATAATTACATCAAAGAGTGGGAGGGAAGACAAGAGGCTTTCTGGGCAGGGCTGTGAGCGAGCACGCTTTCCCTCCCGAGTCGGAAGGAGAGCCCAGTTGTTGTTGTTATTGTTGTGCGGGATTCTGAGCATTGCAAGCCAGAAGAACACAGGTGGGATTGAAAAGGAATGGGGCAGCCCGAAGGAGCCAAAGTGCCCGTGTCTCTGCCCCCCAGCCACTCTTGAAAAGGGGTGTTTGGCTAACGTTTGGGGACGGACCCCTTGCCCACTCTTGGGGAGGCTGAAACTCTGGTGGGTGTTTCCATCATGCTGCGTGGATGTCCCCCAAGCGCCTTTTTTGTGCCCAAAGCTTTGGGGGTGTTTTCTGTCTTCTCTCTTTCTGGATCACATCTGGAGCTCCCCTCTTCCTGTGTTGGGGACTTGCTCTTTCCTCCTCATTATCCTTTTGAGATTGTCCAAGCAGCTTTGGAGGAACCTTGAGATGTACATCCAACATGTTGTGTGGGTGACCATTCCCCGCCATCATCCGTGGCACCTTGAATGTGTGGGGATTTCAGCCCAAAACATCTCCAGGGCCTCCTGAATATAAGCATGGGGTTCCCCTTGAAATGAGTGAGAAGGCAGTGGCTCTCATAATAATAATAATAATAATAATAATAATAATAATAATAATAATAACAACTTATTAATAATATTTATTATTCATATTTAGACCTCACAACCTCTGAGGGTGCTTGCCATAGATGCAGGCGAAACGTCAGGAGAGAATGCCTCTAGAACATGACCATATAGACCGGAAAACCTACAACAACTCAATAATATTTATTATTTTATTATTAAATCTATATGAATAAAAATGTAATGTTCATTTGTGGGATTAACAGAACTCAAAAACACTTTGGACAAATTGACACCAAATTTGGACCCAAGACACCTAACAACCCAATGTATGTCCTTCACTCAAAAAATTGATTTTGTCATTTGGGAGTTGTAGTTGCTGGGATTTATAGTTCACCCACAATCAAAGAGCATTCTGAACCCCACCAATGATGGAACTGAACCAAACTTGGCACACAGTTCTCCCATGACCAACAGAAAATACTAGAAGGGTTTGGTGGGCAGTGTCCTTTGGTTTTGGAGTTGTAGTTCACCTACACCCAGAGATCACTGTGGACTCAAACAATGATGGATCTGGACCAAACTCTACATGAATACTCAATATGCCCAAATGTGAACACTGGTGGAGTTTGGGGAAAACAGAATCTTGACATTTGGGAGTTGTAGTAGCTGGGATTTATAGTTCACCTACAATCACAGAGCATTCTGAACCCCACCAACAATAGAATTGGGCCAAACCTCCCTCACAGAACCCCCATGTGGGCCAGAGCAACGTGTGGCAGGGGATGGCTAGTTAAATAATATATAATATTATATAAATATTATAATAAATTATTATTATTGTAATTTCATTTCTTTCCTGCCTTTCATCATGGCTTGAGGAAGGTCACAACCTGGGGTCTCCTGGTGTTTTGGCCTTCAGGTGCAAGATGTCTCACAGACGGAGGGCCAAAGGTGGAGTGTCCAGCTCATGTGGTTCTGGGCAACGCAATGCTTGTGGGTGCCTGCACCCCTTACTTAGAGTAGCCCCACCCTTCATTAATACTGCGTATTGCCTTTTTTCACCCACCCGACCTCTTCCTCGAGGCGAAGAATGCGGAAAGAGCCCGCAGCCCCGTCGGGTTTGTGGAATCTCGCCCGCAACATGCTGAGTTGCAAAAAAGGGGAAGCAGAAAATAAATTGAGAAAAGCCTCGGAAGGGTGGAGCCGCCCAATGGAAACTGTGTGCAGCCACCCTCGGGGTTTGCAGAGATATTTCCGTGCCGGAGCAATCTGGGCAGACCTAAGGGATAGAAACTTGGCTTCAATAGGAAACCTACAATTGTGTGTGTGTGATTTGCATCAGTTGGTAGAATTGTGGCATCACTTTGGGGCTTGGGGAAGGGGGGGGGAGTCGCCCCTCATTGCACATCTCAACGTAAACACAAAAACTTTGCAAACTCTTCTTCTGGGATGTCTAGACAACAAGGCCCATCGTTCCCAGCTGGAACGCCAACTGTGGGAGGATGGGAGTTGGAATTGGGTGCCTTGCAAGGTAACATAATTGGAGAGGCTTACCTAGAGAGTGCATCTACACGGGAGATTTAATGCAGTATGGAAAAAATGGAACCCATCGGAGGCCTTGAATGGCGATGACACAAACCACAGAATGAACCACGAAAGGTTTTCTTTTGCACACTTGTGGGAGTTTGTTGTGCAGCCACTAGCACAGTTTTGAAGCTAGCTTTGCACCGCATTAAATGGTCAGTGTAGATGCGCCACATGGGGGCAAAGCCTCCTCCGGTGGGTTTCTCACCACCACCACTCTCCCCACCACGCTTCGGGGCCTTGGTGAGCCAGCGTCTGAATTCCCCCGCTGTGGCATGCAACCTTTGACCGCGAAACGCTTTCCCGCTGACCGAGCATGTATGTTGTGACCAACCATTTATTTTGACTTCTTTGTCCCTTCTCTCCCCGCCCCGCCTGCCCTGTTTGATGGCTCCGCTTTGTGTCTTGTTGTTGTTGTCGTCGTTGTGGCTGCTCCTCCTCCTCTTCTCCTCGTCCTCGGCCCCTTTCCCGCCTGACAACGCGGCCCTGCCTTAACAGTCGCTGCCGAGAGCTGGATGAGCAGATCCGGTTGATGGACCAAAACTTGAAGTTCCTTGCTCAGGCTGAAGAGAAGGTACTAACCCTGGCCCCGGCCCCCTCCCTCCCGCCGCCTCCTAACGCCCCTCTCGCCCCTCCTTCCGGCGCATCTCTCCTCTTCTCGCTCTCTCTCTCTCGCTCTTCTCTCGCCGACTCTGACCCGCTGACGTTTGTCTCAAGCAGGTGACACCAAAATGGCAGAGAAGCCTCATGGGCGCTGTGCAAGGCCAGGCCCGCGGCGGCTTCCAGGCAACGGGAATTTTTCATGCCTTACCCACACCTTGCAGGCCATGCAGTTGTGTGCACACTCTCCTCTGAAATGTCTACATTTGGTTGCACTCACACATTCATCCAGCAGCATCATTAAAAAGCAAGCATCATAGAATCCAAGAGGTGGAAGAGACCCCAAGGGCCATCCTCTCCAACCCTCTAAGAGAGAGATGGGTGGGAGGTCAATAATCCAATCAGAATCCTAGAGTTGGAAGAGACCCCAAGGACCATCCTGTCCAACCCTGTAAGAGAGAGATGGATGGGTGGTCAATAACTGAATCATAGAATCCTAGAGTTGGAAGAGACCCCAAGGACCATCCAGCCCAACCTCAGATGGATGGGTGGATAGATAGATGAGTAATCATGGAATCCTTGAAAGAGACCCCAAGGGCCATCCTGGATAGATAGATTGGTTGGTTGGTTGATTGATGGATGACCAATTATAGAATCCTAGAGTTGGAAGAGAACCCAAGGGCCATCCAGCCCAACCTCAGATGGCTAGATGGATGGATGGATGGATAGATAGATGACCTATCACAGAATCCTAGAGTTTGAAGAAAGCCCAAGAGCCATCCAACCCAACCTCAGGTGGATGGATGGATGGATGGATGGATGGATGGATGGATGGATGGATGGATGGATAGATAGATAGATAGATAGATAGATAGATAGATAGATAGATGACCTATCATAGAATCCTAGAGTTGGAAGAAACTCCAAGGGTCATCCAGTCCAACCTACATAGGTAGGTAGATAGATTGATAGATGGATGACCAATCATAGAATCCTAGAGTTGGAGGAGAACCCAAGGGCTATCCAGCCCAACCTCAGATGGAAGGATGGATGGATAGATGACCAATCATAGAATTCTAGAGTTGGAAGAGACCCCAAGGGCCATCCAGTCCCACCTTGATAGGTATGAAGATAAGATAGATGATAAATGATTGAATCATAAAATCCTAAAGTTGGAGGAGACCCCAAGGGCCATCCAGCCCAATCTCAGGTAGATGGGTGGATGGATAGATAGATAGATAGATAGATGACCAATCCTAGAATCGTAGAGTTGGAAGAGACCCCAAGGGCCATCCAGCCCAATCTCAGATAGATGGGTGGATAGATAGATAGATAGATAGATAGATAGATAGATAGATAGATAGATAGATAGATGACCAATCCTAGAATCGTAGAGTTGGAAGAGACCCCAAGGGCCATCCAGTCCAACCTCAGATAGATGGGTGGATGGATGACCAATCCTAGAGTTGGAAGAAACCCAAGAGCCATCCAGTCCAACTTCAGATGGATAGATAGATAGATAGATGGAGGATTAATTATAGAATTCTATGGGAGGAATATTTTGAATACTATGGGCAATTGGTCCTACTTCTCACACAAATTAGTGAAGAGTTTAGAATATTTCCTTGGTGTCTAGCTATATTCTGTTGGACTCTTTGGAGGCCTTTAGGCAGAGGTATTGTGGGCATTGTTCAAGAGTGCTGTATTCTTGTGGGCTCAGTTGCCTCTGTAGTCCCTTCTGCCCGGGATTTAGAACTTTAGGTGCACAATCCTGGCATGACGGTTGGGAGTGAAGGAACAATAGAGAGAATGTTCTATGTGTAGAGCATTGCCTACTTAGGGCTGGACTGCTGGAAGCACATGGAGTGGATTTCAGTAGGACCGGTTCAGCCTGGCTAGGACCACCCTGATAAGGTTTCCTGTTATCTGATCCTCCTGCGCCCCGTCCTTTTGCACACAAGTCCTTTCCGCTTGGCACACGGAACCGAAAAACAAACACAAGCGGAAAGCCCATACACCACCCCTTGTTTGCCATTGGAATCATGATTTTCCACTGCGCAAAGGACCTTGGGAGCATGAAGCAAAGCAAATATGAAATTGCAGTGATCAACGTTTTGGGAAAGTTGCTTTGGGGACCACAGCCCTTCCTCATCTCAGGGAGGATTCTGGGAATTGTAGTCCCAAAAAGGAACCTCTGCAAACTGAAAAGGAGATAAAAAAGAGAGTATTGATAAGTACGAGTGGCTTACCTGTAATTGTGTTTCTTCAAGTGGTGATCTGTGAAATTCGCACGTATGGATGTGCGAATTTCGCAGACACCATGAAGAAGAAATACGAGTTGCTTACCTGTAATTATGTTTCTTTGAGTGGTGATCTGTGAAATTTGCATATCCATATATGTGATTTCACAGGCACCACGAAGAAGTACAAGTAACTCTCCTGCAACTGTGTTTCTTCGAGTGGTGATCTGTGAAATTTGCAATTTCACAGGGACCACGAAGAAGACGTGCGAGTTGTTTACCTGTAACTGTGTTTCTTTGAGTGGTGATCTGTGAAATTCGCACGTATGGATGTGCGAATTTCACAGACTTACCACTCGAGGAAACACAGTTACAGGTAAGCAACTTGCATTTCTTCAAGTGGTGTTCTGTGAAACTTGCATATCCATATGTGCGATTTCACAGGCACCACAAAGAAGTACAAGTAACTCTCCTGCAATTGTGTTTCTTTGAGTGGTGATCTGTGAAATTCGCACGTATGGATGTGCGAATTTCACAGGGACCACGAAGAAGAAGTACAAGTTGTTTACCTGTAACTGTGTTTCTTTGAGTGGTGATCTGTGAAATTTGTATATCCATATGTGCAATTTCACAGGGACCACGAAGAAGAAGTACAAGTAACTCTCCTGCAATTGTGTTTCTTTGAGTGGTGATCTGTGAAATTTGCATATGGATGTGCAAATTTCACAGGGACCACGAAGAAGACGTACGAGCTGTTTACCTGTAACCAAGTTTCTCCAATTGGTGATACGTGAAATTCGCACGTATGGATGTGCAAATTTCACAGACACCCCGAAGCAGAAAGAGGCTCCCACAATCTTTGCTAATTCTGTGAAGTTTCCAAGGAAACCCGAAAGGCCCGAGAGGTCATTCTGCCCAACTGCAAGGCCTGCAAGGTGTCCGGCAAGTGCCCGCGGCCCCGATCCTCCAAGCAATGGCTGTTCTCCTCTGGTTCACGGATTCACTCTTCTCTCTCTCTCTCTTTCTCTCTCCCTCCTGTCCTTGCCCTCCTTCCCTCCCACCCTTGGCCATCCGCCCCTCCTCTCTTTCACGGCTTTCTCTCCGATCCTTCCCCCCCAACAAACACTTGCAGCAAATGCTCAGAGCTGGAAGAGGAGCTGAAGAATGTCACCAACAACCTCAAGTCGCTTGAGGCTCAGGCCGAGAAGGTAGAGTGCCCCTCTCCCACCCCAAACCCCCCCTGAACTACAACTCCCAGCATCCCTGGGGCTTCGGAAGGCGGCAGGATTCCACCCACCCTTTCCCATATTACGGTGCTGGAAGACCTTGTTAAGCCATCAGACTCTTGTTTCCTTGACTGAGGCTGATGGGAGCTAAAATCCAAAATAGAGGAACTATGTTTTCCCATCTTGTCCCTGTGTCAATGGAGAGAGTGCTGGGAGCTGATGTGAATTTTTAAAATGCTGTTTATATTTAATTCTGTTTTAGTGTTTGTATATTTTTAAATTGTATATTAAGGTTTTTATATTAAGCCATTTTGAGCCTAACTTGGGAGACTCAAGTCCCGCCCAGATAAAGCTGGGTATTAATAAATATAGTAATAATAATAATAATAATAATAATAATAATAGTAATAGTAATAATAATAATATACTTTATTTATATTCGGCTCTATCTCGCCAAGGGGACTCTGATCGAATTACAACATAGACCGATAGGCAAACATCCAGTGCCATTAATACAGTGGAATAACAATGATACACAGAACAGAGGTAAAGGCTTTCCCTTTCATTTCCACAAATACACAGAACAGAGGTAAAGGCTTTCCCTTTCATTTCCACAAATACACAGAACAGAAATAAAGGTTTCCTCTTTCATTTCCACAAATACATAGAACAGAGGTAAAGGCTTCCTCTATCGTTTCCACAAATACACAGAATAGAGGGAAAGGCTTTCCCTTTCATTTCCACAAATACACAGAACAGAGGTAAAGGCTTCCCCTTTCATTTCCACAAATACACAGAACAGAGGTAAAGGCTTTCCCTTTCATTTCCACAAATACACAGAGGTAACTGCTTCCCCTTTCATTTCCACAAATACACAGAACAGAGGTAAAGGCTTCCTCTTTCATTTCCACAAATACACAGAGGTAAAAGCTTTCCCTTTCATTTCCACAAATACCCAGAGGTAAAGGCTTCCTCTTTCATTTCCACAAATACACAGAACAGAGGTAAAGGCTTCCTCTTTCATTTCCACAAAAATACAGAGGTAAAAGCTTTCCCTTTCATTTCCACAAATACCCAGAGGTAAAGGCTTCTCCTTTCATTTCCACAAATACACAGAACAGAGGTAAAGGCTTCCTCTTTCATTTCCACAAAAATACAGAGGTAAAGGCTTCCCCTTTCATTTCCACAAATACACAGAGGTAAAGGCTTCCCCTTTCATTTCCAGAAATACACAGAACAAAGGTAAAGGCTTCCCCATTCATTTCCACAAATACACAGAACAGAGGTAAAGGCTTCCCCATTCATTTCCACAAATACACAGAGATAAAGGCTTCCCTTTTCATTTCTGGCTCAACTCCCGTCATGGGGAAGTGCTCTTGTTCCATTTCCAAGCTGAGGAACCTGTTGTCCATAGACACCTCGTATATACACAAATATATACACATACAAAACACATATATACACAAACTGGGCTACAGCAATGCGTGGAAGGGGACGGCTAATACATATATAGTACATTATGATTAGGAATGATGGGGGTCGTAGTCTTCATAGCTCTGGTGCCCAGAACGAGGAAGCTGTCTGTTGGAATGTGGTCATTTATTTTGGCCCTGACTTGTTTACCTTTTTGCCTCTCTCCGCCTCCAGTACTCTCAAAAGGAGGACAAATATGAAGAGGAGATCAAGATCTTGACCGACAAACTCAAGGAGGTAAGTGGACCGTTGGGTCAACAAAGCCATTTCTCCTGCATTATGTCTTAGAGGAGCTGATGAAGTTCTGCAAAATGAGCCTTTCCCGTCGTGGTCAACTGTGAATACGCACATATGGTAGAACTGAGGCGGTGGCGCCGCCCACCTGCTACTTATACTCGCAAGGGGAGAGTGGGCGGGGCAAACCGCCAAAGTTTTTCAAATCTATCTAGAAGGTTCCGAAGCTGTCTGCTCAGGCGCAGAAACTACCATATGTGCGAATTCACAGGTGACGACTCAGGAAACTACGGTTACATGTAAGCAACCTATATTTACATAGAATTAACAGGCCTGGCCTTCCTCCTCAGTTCACCCCCTTCTCCCTCCATTGCAGGCCGAGACCCGTGCCGAGTTTGCGGAGAGATCAGTAGCCAAACTGGAGAAGACCATTGATGACTTGGAAGGTAGGCTTGAGCAGCGGGCAGTGGTGAAGGGGAACCAGTTAAGCACCATACGCTGCCATGGAATGGCCTCTAGTCTGGATACTTACCCTGAGGAGGACAAGAGGGGTGATACCAGAGCTTGTGCCTTGGCCTTCCCTTTAGTCCTTCCGTTGTTGGCCTCACAGGGAGACAGACCATCCTGGAGGCCTTTCGTGGCACCATTCTGTTTCGTATTCATTGGGGATGGATTCTCCTCCTTCAGAGACAGTTCACCTCTAAGCGTCCGTTGCCTAGGATCATAAGTACAGCAGATCCCCATATCCACAAACTTTGTATGGATATACAGAACCATGGATAATCCGGATTCCTATTGAAACTTAAGGCACCTGGCTTAGGAATGCTGTAGAATTGTTATGGAAGATGTAGATTAGACATGGGTAAACTTCACCCGTCCAGGTGCTTTGGACTTCAACTCCCACAATTCCTACCAGCCGGTGGCCCATACCTGGTATAGATGGTTAAGATGTCATATCTACCTATCTATTGGGACCTGAAGGTAGGCCTCTCTTAGATCTGTCACTACATCATCTATCAGGAGCCGAGGTAGGCCTCTCTAGGTCCATCACTCTATCATCAAGACCTGAGGTAGGCCTATCTTAGATCGATTTCTCTGTTATCTATTGAGACCTGAAGGTAGGCCTCTCTAGGTCCATCACTCTATCATCTATAAGAACCTGAAGGTAGGCCTCTCTTAGGTCCATCACTCTTATCAGCTATCAGGACCCAAGGTAGGCCTATCTCAGGTCTATTACTCTATCATCTATTGGGACCCAAAGGTAGGCCTCTCTAGGTCCATCACTCTATCAGCTATCAGGATCTGATGTAGGCCTATCTTAGGTCCACCACTTTTATCATCTATTGGGACCTGAAGATAGGCCTCCATCACGCCATCACTCTTATCAGATATCAGGGCGTGAGGTAGGCTTGTCTTAGTTCCATTGGTCTGTCCATCAGGACCTGAGGTAGGCCTATCTTAGGTCCATTACTCTATCATCTATTGGGACCTGAAAGTAGGTCACTCTTAGGTCCATCACTCTATCAGGACCTGAAGATAGGCCTCTCTAGGTCCATCACTCTTTCAAGACGTGAAGGTAGGCCTCTCTATGTCCATCACTCTATCAGGACCTGAAGGTAGGCCTCTCTAGGTCCATTACTCTATCTATGAAGACCAGAAGGTAGGCCTATGTTAGGTCCATTACTGTATCATCTATTGGGACCTGAAGGTAAGCCGCTCCAGGTCCATCACTCTATCATCTATTGAGATGTGAGGTAGGCCTGTCTTAGGTCCATCATGCTTCCATCTATCAGAATCTGAAAGTAGGCTTCTCTAGGTCCCATCACTGTCTATCAAAACCTGAAAATAGGCCTGTCTCAAGTCCATCACTCTCTCATCTAGCTATCTATCGAGACCTGAAGGTAGGCCTCTCTTAGATCTATCACTCTAGAATCTAGTTTAAGAGGCTCGGGGGGAAAGATAGGGGCCTGGGACTGTTAGGAATTGTGGAAGTTGAAGTCCAAAACACCCAGAGGGAGGGCCAGATTTCTCCCATGCCTGATGCAGAAGATGCCTAGAGGTCATATTTTGTTGAACTAAACTGCAGCTACTGCATGGCGGTGCAAACATTTCAGAGCCATGAAATGGACAATTCAGTTTGGGAAGGACAGAGGCGCTTTGATTCGGAAGGCAGAGCAGGGCGAGGCTTCCCTGGGGGGTCGAGTCAGATGGCAGACCTTCCCTCGCCCTTTTCCCCGTTGGCTCCCATCCAAATCTCGCCCTTAAACGCAGAAAGAAGGCCTTGTGGGCGCGTGCCTCTCTGACCTGGCCCTTCCTCCCTTCCTTCCTCCCTCCCTCCCGCCTGCTTTTGGTTGCCCCTCCATCCTGGTTTCTTCCGCTGCCTTTGTTCTAGACGAACTCTATGCCCAGAAACTGAAGTACAAAGCCATTAGCGAGGAGTTGGACCACGCCCTCAATGACATGACCTCCATGTAAATACCGGCGGCGGGGGCGGGTTGTGTGTCGGCCTCTGCTTGCGCCTGCCTTGTGTGCTGTGGCGGAGTTGGGTGGGACGGGGACACGGGCGCGATGGAGCAAAGGTGCAGGAAGGCATGGTTTCGGTCAGGACGAGTTGTTATAGCCAAATCGGGGGGTCATTGACTGCACACCCAACTGCCTCCCGCTCCACCTGCTGGCACAAGGGCACACCTTTTCCTGACTCGTAGGCGGCCCTTCCTCTCACTTCCACTTTTGAGTCGCTACGCCTGGCTTCCCAATGCCACCGCCCTCGATAAGGCCTCCAGGCCTTAATGTTGTGTTCTGTGCCTCTCTTTGCCAGCGGCTTCCTGTGTTGCGTGTGTATGTGTTGCACTCAATTGAATCCCTCCCAACAGATGGCCATCCAGCCATTCATAATCCATTGTCAAAGAGCTCTGAGCTTCCTAATGATGCGGTGGAGTCTCTTCTTGCCGTTTGTACCCCTTGCTGCCTTGTGTCCCTCCTCCATGTGACATCCTTGCAAGTATTTAGCCGTCTCTTCTCCAACTTAAACCTCCCGAATTCCCTCAGTTGCTTCTCAAGAGGGATTCGTGCTTCCCAGACCTTGGACCATTGTGGACTCCTTCCATCTTCTCCATCTCCTTGAATCGCTTTGCCTAGAATTAGAACAGTATCTCAAGTGCAGAAGAGGAGGGCCCTATTGTATTTATTTACTGTATTTGTATACCGCCTTTCTCAGCCCTATTCCTTCTTCCCTTGTGGTAGACCAGGTATAAGCAAACTTCGACCCTCCAGGTGTTTTGGACTCCAACTTCCACCATTTGTAACAGCCTCGTGCCCCTTCCTTTTCCTCCCTCAGCCACTTAAGCATTCTATCTATCTATTTATGTACGACATTTATATGCTGCCCTTCTTACCCCGAAGGGGACTCAGAGCGGCTTGGCTTACAAGATATATAAACAATATATTATGTTGTTAGCATCGTACAATATCAGTATTATGTATTACTATTATTGTACTATATCATTATATTGTACTATTATTAGTAATATTGCGTGTAATATATAATTATAGTCTTTTATTATTAGTAGTATTATATTCTATTATATAGGTATATACAATATATTATATTTATTGGGACCTGAAGGTAGGCCTCTCTTAGGTCTATCACTGGACCTGAAGGTGGCCTCTCTTAGATCCATCACTCTAGTATTTATTTATTGAGACCTGAAGGTAGGCCTCTCTTAGGCCTAGCACTCTATCAGAACCTGAAAGTAGGCCTCTCTTAGGTCTATCACTAGACCTGAAGGTAGATCTCTCTTAGGTCCATCACTCTAGTATCTATTTATTGAGACCTGAAAGTAGGCATCTCTTAGGTCTATCACTCTAGCATCTATCCATCTATCAGGGCCTGAAGGTAGACCTCTCTTAGGTCTGTCATTGGACCTGAAGATAGGCCTCTCTTAGGTCCATCACTCTAGTATCTATTTATTGAGGCCTGAAGGTAGGCCTCTCTTAGGCCTAGCACTCTATCTATCAGAACCTGAAAGTAGGCCTCTCTTACGTCTATCACTAGACCTGAAGGTAAGCCTCTCTTAGGTCCATCAGTCTAGTATCTATTTATTGAGACCTCCAAGGTAGGCCTCTCTTAGGTCTATCACTCTAGTATCGATTTATTGAGACCTGAAGGTAGGCCTGTCTTATAGGTCTATCACTCTAGTATTTATTTATTGAGACCTGAAGGTAGGCCTCTCTTAGGTCCATCACTCTAGTATCTATTTATTGAGGCCTGAAGGTAGGCCTCTCTTAGGCCTAGCACTCTTATCTATCAGAACCTGAAGGTAGGCCTCTCTTAAGTCTTATCACTAGACCTGAAGGTAGACCTCTCTTAGGTCCATCACTTTAGTGTATATGTATTGGGACCTGAAGGTAGGCCTCTCTTAGGACTATCACTGGACTTGAAGGTTGGCCTCTCTTAAGTCTATCACTCTACCAACTATCTTAAATTGCTGAGGGGGAAAGGAAAGGGTCTGAGGATGTTAGGAATGGTGGGAGTTGAAGTCCAAAACACTTGGAAGGTTGAAGGTTGCCCATGCCTGTTGTAAAAACTCGCCTCCTGTTGACGCTGCCTAGAATGGCCTTGGCTTTGTGGGGCTTCCTGCCTTGTGTGTGTTTTTGTGTGCCTCTGTCCTTGTATTGATGCTCGACTTCCTTCCTCTTGGGCTCCTCGGGGGTCTTTGGTGGGCATGAAATGTGGGGCATATTGTGCTAGGAGCCCTAGGACCTGTGTTGAGATTCTTCCGAAGGGGGCCTTGACTCTTAACCCGTTTGCTCCATTGTGGAGTTGCCTTGCAGCCACCCTTCCTCCTCCTCTTGCTCCTCCTAACCACGGAATGCCTTCTCCTCTCCTCTTCCTTTGGGTTCCTCTTCCTTCCTTCCTTGCCTGCCTTGCTTTTCAGCCTTTAAACTTCTCTTTTCTTTCTCTCTCTCTCTCTTGCACACAGATAAAATAGTGATTCCAAAGCTCTCCAGAAAGCAAGTTTGCCCTGTATTTGTGCCCAGGCTTTGGAGGGCGGAGATCGTTTTGGGGGTCTTCCTCTCCCCTCTTTGTCTTCCTCGCTGCTCCTTTTCCAAGCCCAACACAGACTCCCCACCATTTGGTCCCGTCCTGTGCCTCCCCCGGCTCTTTCCCTCTCTGTTCGGAAACAATGCGGCCCTTTGTGACGTCCGAAGAGGTGCCAGACGCTGCAGGGTTTTCTCGTCTGCAGAGATGGGGAGAATTAGAAACCGACGTGGCCTCGGAGATGGGGCCTCCGCCACTGCCATCGTCACCACTGTGTCTCCACTGTCTTGCTTTGACCATTGTTTGTGGTGTAACTGTTGGTGGGAAGTCATACGTAATATAGACACCGTGCTCTCAACGAAGCCTGGGCTGCCTTTATTTTCCTCTCGTCTTCTCCTTCGAGCC